CAAAGGTGTTCCCTTTCAGAGGTTGCTCCCACACAAGTGGGAATGAGTCCTTTCTCCAAGCTCTTCTCACCTCTTCAACAGTTCCGAAGTTGCCCAGAATCCATATCGCAAAATTCAAGTTGGAAATGGCCGAGCCACACTTGTCTTTGGGGACGGTCTGATATTTGGAAAAAAGAGGAAAGAGGAGTGAACCCACGGAGAGTCCAGCATCATTTTGGCCGTCAGCACCGGCTATAGGCGAGTCCAAACCGTTTAGGTATACGATCTTGTAGCTGTTGTTCCAGGTCATGGCTGGTGAACTACGGGAACAAGTCTTTGGTAGTTCAGCAGTGTGGGGATAATCCTTGGGTTCCACTATGATGTCCGACATGAGATCTATCATAAACTCCATGCTTCGTGCGACTACGACCGTTTTATCCTCGGCGGTCACTCGGATCTCGGTACATGCGTCCGTGGCAAGAAAAAGCTTGAGCAGTATTGGAACCACAAGTGCAAACTTCATCGTTCTAGAGAATTCAGAAAGGCGACAATCTGACCAACGATACCTTTCGATGTGTGACAAAAATGTTTGGCCTCTTCTTTTATAGTGACTCTCGAGGAACTGTCAGACACGTGTCTATTATTCATAAATCACACTTGTCAAAAGCATCACGTTCGGGGCGTTTCCCACTTGAAATATCATTATCTCCTTCCAGAAATTGTATCCTGGTCATCAAACTCGAAGTCTCTCTACTATGACGTTTTCTGTACTGTTGCACACACGATCAGGCCAAACTAAAAAGGGACATACATTTTAAAATTACAATAAACTCGTTTACAGAATAAATTATTTCATAAATTACTAGAGTTCTTGAAAATGAATTTTCGTGGACACAAGGACCCCCTGCAGCCAATTTAAAATACGATGAAAAGCCTATAAAATAAAAGTAAAGAAAGACCGACTTGGCCTCCCCACGTGACTATTGTGATCGCGTCGCATTGTCGTCTTCAAATTCTATTTTTACTCTCACGATGGTGTCTTTAAGAGATTTTCCCTTTTCGTAAAAGATGATCTGAGGTTTTGTAAAAATTGTTTTCAGTAAGGGCTAATTGTGTATCAGACTCCAATGTTCCATCAATATTTGTTTTAATTTTTTTATCGCCGCGTGGTACGTTATGACAAAAGGCTTTTGTGTATGTGTAAGAGCCGATTGTCTAGAGGCAAAGTTGACGCCTAACAGAGACCTTTTCTTTGATTTTTTCTAGGTACCCTCTTACTTTGAGGTGCTGGCTGAATTTCAATGAAAGGTGTTTCATTTTTCTCTCCTCCCCCAAAACAGTAGACTCATATATGTCTTGTCTGCACAACGAAGCTTTTGAGCAGTTCCAGTAAATATTTTCTTTGTTTTTAGACGTTAGGCTTCATCCCATTAATGCTGAACCAACAATTTGCGTTGTTGAGGCCATCTTGTAGTGATTGT